TATTGTGACTCAAAATATGGGCCCCAAAAGATTTTCGTTCTACTCTTAACATTGAATAACGCAATTTTATTAATAATTAAATGCTTTCACAAAGTCGTGTTGATTTTTTTTGGTTTATTTTTTCTACATATTATTGGGTGTGAATCATATCTACATAAATTTAACAAACTTTTATTTTCAATCAATATGCCATAAAATAAAAATATACTAAGTAGGATGAGCTACATGGACAGACAGAAGGACCAGGTTTGATGACTTCATAGTCCAAGGAGATCTGGCCTGCATCATCCGCATGCAGACAATAATTGGTCATGACTGAGAGGCTCCTGTACCCACATGTTCTTGGAAGAATGGAATTAACACGTTATGGATGCCCCGGGTTCTGGCTGAGGAGCTGATAAGACTTTTGGAGGCCTCTTGTGCAGGTTATGTTCAAATGAGGCCTCAGAGAGGAAGTAGTATCGTTGGGTGATGGCATTAAAGTTCACCTTTTAGGAAGAAACAATAGTAAATATAAAGAAATATAAAACAATTTAAAAAACGAAGAAAAAAAATCAAAACATGAGAGAAGATTTAGTTATCCAGCAACATTAGCAATAAAAATTAGGATAAGATTTTGGGTCATTTATGATCTAACAATATTACATATTTTTACAGCTAAACAGGACTTTTCTTTGTAAATGTATGGACTTTTTACACTGTTGTATTGTTAGTTCACATGAAGTGAAATAGTCTTTTCTATTGACCATTTATCTTGAAAGTATCAGTATAAGCATGTGAAGTGGTACTTATTAACTGAAACATGTAACGACCCTCTTAAAACAGCGTATTGTCAAACTTCAGTTTTCTTTCCTTCCCTTATTTCCACTTCCTAGAAGGAAATATACTTAAGAAAGGGGGGGAGTCTTTTGTTCATATGGCACTGATAAATATCTTTTTAAGTAGTTCTGTATATGTCAACTGAAAAAAAAAACCATTGAATTTTTTGATAAACTTTCTACTTGTTGTATTTAACGTTTTAGGTTCCCATGAAAGTTGCAGGAATTACAGAGAATATCTTAAACATATAAAAATTGGAATTTCTAACCAGCTCACACCACCAGCAGCCTGAATCAATCATACAAGGCTGTGCTTTTACATTACAGCAGAAATTGACACTTGTCAGACCAGCAACATATTTTCCAGTTTTAGTTACCCTGCCAGAGAACTGAATATTTTTATTGTGGACCTTTCTCTATAAACCCAAGAGCTGATCATGTGGGAACAGCCAAGTAGTTCTGCAGTTCCAGACATACTCTGATATTTTGCCACCAACAATCACGCCGCTGTAAGATTTTAAAGGATAATATTAGGGAATTATGTAATGTTTAAAATTTAAGTCCTCCGTAAGAGCAGGTGAAGAGATGATGAGCTTGGTGAGAAATCAGTTCACACATTGATGGTTTTAGTCTTTTCACTATTTTCATGCTGACAATGATAACTAGAATTAGGCACATACACAACACCTAAACCTGGCTTTTGTCCACCTAAGTATTATTACTTCAGAGTTCCCGTGGATGTTCAGGTACTCCAAGAATATACCTTTCAGTGAGACAGATGTATCATACAAACAGGTGAAGGAACGACCTGAAAATACAACGCCTGCTACAACAGTGTTCTCCAGCATGGAGGCATAAAAAAATGGATTATTTCCAATGTTGCCCTGCAAGTGTATAACATTGTGTTTCTATGGTCACTTTGCAATCTCCCTTGAAACCTCTACAACTGTTGAGTACTGGCTGCACTTACTCTTGGTTGTTGACTTTTGTGCTTTTTACTTTTTTTAGACTTCACTCTCATTTTATCCCCTTTGTCATTTGCTATAGTCCCTTTGTGTTCACTTTTCTAAGTGTGGCAGCAAACCAGAGGCGGTGACTCCTGTACAATGCTTTAATTCAGCAGTCCCTCCCGTCTTATCGTGCCCTGCAGCTTGGCCGGATTGGGCAATATAAATTGAACTTGCCCAGCAGAGAGACGCCGGTTTCTCTTTTGGGTCCGCACATTGTTTCGTCTAGGCCTGTATTTATTTAGATGTAAATCAGTTTGCAAAAGTGTTACGTCCTGCCCTTGTGTAGTGGGCGGAGGACTGGTGCTCATTTGTTGGAGGAAGTCAGCCCCATCGAGATTGGAGCTGTGCAGATTGTTTTCCATTATAAGGCTGTTATTGATGTGAGAGGGTGACATCATGCTGCCTCGCCCTCACAGGCAGCGTTGGTGAGAAAGAGCCTATCTCTTATTCATTACTCAGCACAGCGAGGAGGATGGACTTGTCTTCATGTTTCATCCAAAAATAAGTTGAGTGGAGGTTTTAAGAGTCCCCCCATCCCGCAAAAGGGTCACTCCAATAGCTAAGCTCAAAGCAGAAGGCTGGAGCATGGAAATTGACTAGCAAGTACCTAAATGTGCTGTAAAAGCAATAGTTTAACATTCTGGTGAATCAAGCAGTCAAAGCTATAGCCAGGCCCAGAGAACGGACACATTTTGGCTGAATCTGGGTTACTTTCTGGCACTAATGACTCACTTACTGCACTTGCTAATGCTGAGGGGGGCCAGATGTGGTCCAGATGTTGTAAAGAAGGCTTGTCATGGGTCAATGCAAGTATTGTGGTTCAGATGTAGCCCAAATGCCACAGCATACCTGGCCTCTGGTTCACACAAAATGGACCTGTGGCTGTTGTTATATAACAGAATGACTTTAAGAAGGATGAATAAGACTTCAAAGTTCCTATGACTTTCAAAAAGCACTTTCTGCACCAGTCTGAGCAACAGAAACCCATAAAATACCAAACCTTTCTTTTATGTTTCAAATCTAAAGTGTAAATTTTCTCACTTTTTCAGGGCATTGCGGTTACATTTCAAAGGCTTATATTTACCAATGAAGACAGTGAAGACTATTTAATAGCAGTTTGAAAATCAACCTTGCACTTTTTACAGTATGTGTTAATCAGTGGCGTAATCTTGCATAAAGAGAATATGCAATGCCATTTTTAGTACATGAAATATATTTAAGGCCATATTTGAACACAAAGAGTTGTCTGTCTCTCTATGTTAGTCCAGGAACAGATTTGCAACCATTCCAGGTTGTGCACCGCCTCTTGCCCCATGATAGCTAGGATAGGCTCAGCCCGCCTGCCACCGTGCATTGGATAAAGAGAAGAAGATAGATGGATGAACGGACCATGTATAAAAATATGAAGGTACAGGAACCCTCTTTCATTAGATAGATTAAAATAGTGAACTACTTTCAGCTTCCTCTGGCAAAAAATGCCAGACAATAACATAAGTCATGCTGCGGCCTGTGAATAATGCAGTACTAATTTGAGACTGTTGGTAATAGCTATGCCACCTTTATGTGACCCATGACTGCAGACTGACACACAGCATAACCCTTCTTCTGTTTAATTCTTAGCTTAATCTTTGTAGATATATAGGTACAATCCAAATATTTTTTCCTGCATACTTTGCCTTTTTTCCCTTTTTTTAGAAAGTCTTTCCCTCGTGAAGACATCTAATAGGCAGGCAAAGGGGAACGAATTAACGGAATGCCAGCTTTATAATAAAGGCAGAGTACCACCATGTCCTGGCTTGCATGGCCGCTCATAGCTGGTAGAAAGCTACAGCTATGGGTCCAATCAGCAGCTGGTTACCCTATTTGAAGCCTGTTAGTACTGATCAGGGTTTTATGACAAGCTCAAACCTGTTCAAGTAAAATTGTAGAAGACTTATAATAACATAGCCTATCTTCATGTCTTATGGGTTTAATTCAAGTGCTCACATTTTACTCACATGTCAAAAGTTGCCAGCAGGTTTATTTACAGCAATAAATTGGTGTCTGTGTTACGATAATAGCACTCGGTCTCTTGTGATCTTTCACAGGATAAAGTAACTTTTATTTGTATGGCCCAATATCACAAGGCACAAGGCCTCAAGAGACTTTACAGAAATCTTTGCAGCATAAAATACCCTCTGTGTTCACAGTCTTGATTTAGATAAGGAAAAATCCCCCAAGTAGCAAAAGAAAGAGAAAGGAAAAAAGTGTGTACAGGTGATGGACAGACATAAACAGTACTGTAATAGTTTGTCTTCCAGACACATATCAGCTACAGCTGCCTGTCTTAGAACATCTGCCAATCAAAGTGGGCTCAAATCCATGACTGAGTAATGAAAAAAGGAAAATTCACCCAGCACAGAGGAAAACTATCCACACAGATCAAAAGGCAGTTAACTTAACGCTGTTAACCTTGGGTTCTGTGCTGAACTGACCCAAGTGGTATTATTAGGTGGGATAAATGAACAGTCAATATAGGGTAGAACCTCATGTGGTTTTGACTGACTGGATTTAACATCCTGGATATGGTTGTCAGCGGTGATGTATGCATGGAGTTACAGAATGTACAAGTCAGGGTTAGGAGAACGGAAGAGCTTTTTGAGGTTTTTGTTACAGTAGCCTTTTTTGCAACGCAGTCACCTTATGAGAGCCAACCAGTCAGAGAATACAGATTTTTCCCTAGCAATCAGATGCTGTCAGAACAGTCTCTAGGCCTGCGTGAGTGAAGCCTTAGATGGTTTGACTGCTGTAGCTGGCTTTGAAAAGCTGACAACTGCAGGCTGTTGCATTTTCATTGGTTTCAGTCATCAGCCACCACGTTTCCCTTTGCACAAAGTACATTGTCTTGCCATCTAACAGGTATCAGAAGATAGCTACATCCTTTATCCTAGTATTATGGGCAGCACTGGTGAGTGACATAGAATGTATAGTGTGCAATATTGCATTGTCCTTGGCTCTTTAGGTTAATCTAGACTAATCATTTAAAGATAACTGGGGCTAAGATGATGCAACAATAAAACATTGTTCTTTTCTTCTTTATTTCACATAAATTTATATTGTTATATAAATTTAACGCCATTCATTTCACTCCCCTCCTTTGTTGTTCCCTTACTGCCAAGTCTCATGTCCTTTCCCGGCTTCCGTAGGCATTCCTTCACTGTCAGTTAGTGTGCGGGTGACAGACAACAGCGGTGAGCCTCCAAATCTAAGCTCCAAGTGTAAACTATGGAAGAGATTAACAACATTGAAGTGGTTCCGTGCACAGAGTCTGACTATCTAAAGCCGTTCAGGGTGCACTATAGCCAGGTGAGTTATTATTGAGTAATAACGGCTAGTAGATGCTGTTGGATGATGTAGGCTAACCCAACCCCCCCCACCCCCATTCATTTTTTTTAGCATAACATGAAGGCTAAGCCGATCTTAAACACAATCACTGACAGCAAAAATTGGCATTACATGCACCACGACGACCTAAAGAGGTCTGTATTTGGTCTGGTTTGAAACGCAGTTACCTCTGTGTTTTACGAGACAGCTAAGCTAACAGGGAGCTATGAGCTACCATGCTAACGGTAGCCTGCTGCTACTGCAGAGGGTTTTTTTCATGGTTTAACAGAGGCACATGCTTTATATTAGAGCGAGGAGATGTAGATGGCTCGAGTTGGTCTTTTTAACGTGAAAAGAGAGGGGTTTTTTTCGCGCTATTTGCACTGTAAAGACAGGCGAGACTTGTTGATCTCAGCTGTCAAAGTGACCCAGTCTGGTGGGTCTAGTAAGGTCGAAGGTTTTGAAAGTTCAGATGTGTAGAGAGCTAAGTTGCCCAGGCTTGTGTTTGAGCGACACTGAGTAGTTTTTCCTTTTCATATCCTTTCGGGATTTAAAGTGTTATGCGTGTGTTTGTGTTTTATTGACCTGCAAAAATGTGCAGATCATGGACAGAACATTGTGCAGAGAAACATGCTCCTACCTCAGATCAGCATCACTCTTTTGCATTAAGTTTCAATTAAGAAAATATAACTATAAGTCTTTTTGTTAGTATCAACGTCATGCTCCTGTCTTAAATATAAACCATAGTAGATGTGCCTTTATATTCAAACGCTTTAGTTTAATAAGGCTTACCCAGTTATTTTGAGTACCTAAATTTGGTTTTTCAGTTATCAAGCAATTTGAGTCAGCATTATTAAGAGATGCAGAGAGGAAAGGTTGAGATTGTTTGGAGGTGTGCAGAGGAGGGATAGTGAGTATATATTGAACAAAGGATGTTGAATATAGAGCTACCAGGTAAGAGGAAAAGAGGAAGACTGTAATCAGTAAGATTGGACTGTTACTGACCATGCCCAATAAGTTTCCTTAGTGAGGATGAATAGAAAATAAGTCAGTATATTTTTTGCTAATGTGATTACTAATTCTGCTTGTAGGTATTTTTACGGACTCTCTTAGTGGCTCATCATCAATTTTAGGTATGGAAAAAAATAAGCCTACTTAACTTTTTTAGAAGCACTGCAGTTGTTACTTTCACTGCACCTGAACACATGGGAAAAAAACAGGAGAAAAAAAGTATTTGCAAAAGGAAAGCTACTCCTCTGAGTTTGATTGTTTTGAGAGATGTAGCGTACACTGATGAAATGAACTGATAAGCTTGTGAACTGGTTTTGATTCCCATCCCCAATAAAATTTGGTTTCTTTGTCAGTGCCATAATGATATTCACTGTTTCTTCCTATCAGTTACAAATTATTCATTCAGTCATTCATTTAGTCACGCTGTGACTCAGATCATAGTGCCACAGTTATCTCGCATTTTTCTGAATATGAATGCAATGCAGTTCAGTGAGGTTGAAATAGCAAGTGCTAATCTCCAAGTCACCTAAAAGAGGGGAAAAATGTTTATGCTCATGTTGATGGGATTCATTTTTTCTAACTAGACTTTGTTATTCCTAGTTAGCATTCAGGTGTAAATATGACTTAATCGTTTCAAACACGTCCTTGCTTTTGCAGCGCTTCTTGTGCAGAGTCAATTGTCTTGTAGGTCAATAATATTTATTATCCAAGGACATAGGTGTCTCAGGGGCTTGCGGGTGCAGTTTTAGTCACTATTCATCCATCCATGCCAGCATCTATCTATGATCTATCCACCTTTAGCTTCTTATCCAGGTGGTGGTAAAATAATTTAGGCAGTGCTGATTATCTCTGACCAAAATCTGATATTCATTTTCATCGTTTACCTCACTGCACTGCTTTATATATGCATCTTAAATATGAGAAGGTCTGGGCTTCCGAAAGTGTCCCCGCCAATGAACTTTGATTGACTTTTTTTAGGTTAGCCATTAATAATTTACTATAAAAATTGTCCTCCCACTAAAAGCAAAGTGTGATGACTGTGTCCCGATGGTCTCCTTGCAAAGTGAGAAGTGCTTCCTTACCCAAACACGGGCGGCAGTCCAGGATGAATTTATTTTTAGGTTTCAAAATATTTGTGCAGTTTCTCTGTTGCTGGGCTATGGATATGGTTGTGTAAAACCTGGATAGTGACTGTGGTGCTGAACTCATTCTTAAAACTTAGGAGCTGCTGCGTTACTTACACAGTAGATTATAAGAGCACGTTAATGACATCTGTTTCATGTAATTAGTACATGCCAAAAAAGACTCTTTTGTATATTTTGTTTTGGAAACAAATGAGAAAAAAGGGCTTTTAATTGGTACTTGCAGTTACAAATTGTGGTTTACATGTATGGAAGCTTCTTTTTTGTATTGTTGTTTTCAGTGTAATCCAAAAACTCAAGTACCATGGTACTCTTTTTGGGAGTTTGTCCCATTTGGGGTACACACCTGTGACAGCAGAGGGGGAAGGTTAAGCCTGTCAAGAGGATGGTGGAACGGCTAAAGACAGCAGATGGACAACAAAAGAGATGACGGGTGGACCCTCTGTGTTTCTCTCTCTGTCCTGCCTTCTCTTTCATTCTCATCATTTCTGCCTTGCACGTCAGGAGGGGCTGTTCAGAGACTCCCCACAAAGGCTTTTCAGTCATGCCGAGGGAGCATCTCTCCCACAATCCTTTTATGTTCATCTGTACATCTTCAGCTTTTGCTATTGGCCATTAACAGAAATCTACTCACACTCACAGCAACACACTCCAAAAGTACATAATGTCATGCATAAGAGACTCTCTGCATCATTAGTGTTTATTGGTGCTTTCTCCAAAGCAGGTGATTGTGCTCTGTTGACTCTGGGAAACCCCTCTTATGTTTGTCGCCTCGTGCTGACAGCGAATCACGAGTTGGTGCTTAGAGCGAGATAATTACCTTCTATTTATTCATTATAATGATTTGAATTATTCATCTAGAATTATGTACCTTGTGCGTCTTTCAGCCAGTGAATGAATATGAGATCTTTATGATCTTGAAGCGCACATTTTCTTACGTGAATGGTTATTTATCTGCTCGTGCTTGAATCACAGCAGTTAACTGATTGCCATAGTGATTATCTGCTTATAAATAAGGGCACAGTTCCAGGAGGATATAATTATTAAAATTATTTGTTCACAACACAATAACAACACGGGTTATCACAGTTTAAACAGTCTAGATTTAATGAATAACGGTTCCATCAATTGTAATTATTTCAAAATTTGATTTTACAGGTTTGCCATGAGATAAATGCGTTAAAGTATTTGATTTCTTCGATACTCTACGGAACTTTTCTTTCACTGAAAACACTATGTCCTTAACATAAGCACTATGTTATGTTCATTTAGACTCAATTTAGGCTAATGATGACAGAAGATAGAACGTTGGTGCACTATGGTCAGTTTAGTTGATCCAGAGAGAGCATCTAGTTTTTGTTCCCCTGTGAATAAGTTCCAGAAACTAACTAAAATCCACCAGAGTTGTCAAAAAAAAAAATACATCAATACTGAAATATTAATCAGTACTAAAAATGTTACTATTGGATACTCAGTTGCAACAGTATTGATACCAACAGTGCTGTCTTGCCTCCTGCAGTTGGCATACAACTTCAAACAGTAGTGCTGGAGACAGATTGGCAGACAACCCTTCCTTCAGTAGCAGCTGAAGTAGTTGACATTCACAACACTTTATAAGGAATTTTGAGAGGTCAGTAAAGCTCCTGTTTCAAGAAGAATGACGTATTGTGCTTGCTTTATGGTACTACTTTTGTGTCTGGTGAGGCTTAGAGTTAGGAACACGGCGGTTGTGACTGCTTTAGCCTCTTGTCTGCTAATTCGTATCACTGACTTGGACTACTCAACCTTGTTCGTGGTGTTTGTACCTTTTGGAACATTTTTAATGGAAGTATCTAAATAAAATAATATGGCTCAGTGTGTGTATGGTACAGACCAGGCAGGAGGTTTGAAGTTCAGTTTGGTGATGGCACTGATGTATACTGGCCTTGATTTGAGGTTTATATACTCTCTGTGGATTTCACTGGAGGACACAGTCAGTTTGTACTTGGAAACTGCGTCCTTGAGAAGAAACTGCACATGCTGGTTTTTCCCCCCCTGCACGTGTAGATGCTTTTTGTTACTTTTAAAACACGTTGACCGTTGTAATGATAGTCCTGCTGCCTTTGTCGAGACAGCAGGGTCAAACAGAGAGACTATAAATGAAACCAGGAAAAAAACTGGAGCGCGCATGATGAGACTCAAAGGGAGCTATTGTATTTGAGGATGGTAGTTAATTTTTTTTATTCTTGCTGCAGCTGTCTGCTTTATAGTCAGCATAGAAGGTGTGTGTGTGTGTGTGTGATGGTTATTAGACTTTAAGCACCTAAAAGATCAAGACCATACATCCCTCCCTACAACAGCCATTCACGTACGAGCCTGTCATTTCGGATGGCCAAAGCCAGAGGGACCACATTAATTTCAAGGTCCTGTGTAGCCTGCTTCTGCTTGCCTTGCTCTCTCTCTTTCTTTCTCTGCCTGTGTCTCTCTCTTTCCCCCCGTGGGCTAATCTCTCTGTCGTAATCTGTGTCGGCCATGATTCTCCATCTCCCCTGGGCCATTCAAGCTGTCCCCGCCTCCCCTCTCTCAGCAAGTGGCCTGAGTAATGAGGGGAACCCCGCCATCTGTGAGTGGTGACAGGAGACTAAAGAGGGAATGTGTGTGCGCTGACACATTCATGCGGTGCAGTTTTACCTTATGTAGTAGGTCACTGCTGGAAGATAAATGTGTTGTATCTACAGTGTTTTTAACAGTAATCATGGCCAATTAATGGTGATGTACTGTAAACAAACCCTATTCGAGGTGTTTGCTAGTCTCTTTGTGGTGCTGTCTGAAATTGCTGACAACATTAAGGTATTTCTTTAATCTTGAAATCCAGATGACTTTTGTTCTTTTTTGCTTTTTTAAATAGAAAGACCTTCTTGGATGTTATTTTTATCCTCACTGTTTCATAACCTTGAGTTTGTGTTGTTACCAGAAATGTCTGTATAGTAGTTGCAGCTTACTCTGAACTGATGGTGCACCTTTCCTGCACATTTCTTCTGCACTGAGCAAATTCAGAAGCCTTTAGATGCATTATTGACCACCTAAGCATTTTTGACTCCTTTTAGCATTTGTTCCAAGAGATCTGAAGGTTTTCTTCTGAAGGTTCAGTCTCTGTCTTAAAATCTTGCTCAGATTCTTCTTGTTTTGTGTTTCTGTACCGGGAGGTTGACCAGGTTGTTCTGGGGGTTCTCGAGATTATTCAGCTGCCTTCACACAGAGGCTCTGGTCCTGTGATAGATCTTGTTTTTGTACTTGGCTGTAGGGCCACTTTAACCATAACCTGCCGTAGCTGGAGGACTGGATTATAAAATGCCATTTTATCTCAAAGTATAGCTCTATTGTATATTTTAATGTGTCTGCTGTACAGCAATGCAATGTATAGCCTCAGTTTGACAAAGGCTCAGTTCTGAACAACATGGATGGGTTTAGGGGCCCTAGTGCATGCATTTGTAACCATTTACTTATGCAAATACCCTGCAATTTCCATGTAATACGTTCAGTGATGGCAAAAATACTCCGCCTCAGCAGAGCATTTTCCAGAGCCAAGCATTTTTATAAAGCAACAAGCTACGAGACGTGCATCCCTACCTCAGTCATGACAAAATGATTTATCACACACTCCATCACCATACCAGCTTTGCTTTCATAAGGAGAAGTGAAAGGGCTTGGTTTCATATGATGGCATGTAAAACACATATACCAATTTCTGACATGGAAGGATTTAGTGAGTAATTACACCCGCAGCATGTCTGCAGTGTTTTAATCACATAATATCAGGCCTTTAATAATGGCTGAACATGAGATTATGTATGACTCTCATTGTTCTATCTTTTTTTTCTTTTTTTAGTCACTGCAATTGGAGTAAAAATGTATTTTTATTTACAGCATTTCTGAGTGACTTCATTGCAGTGACTTTTTCACTCTTTCATGATCTTTTGACAGGAATTCCTCTCTTATTTGACACAGAAAATGCCTTCAGTTAATCACTGAGTGTTGCTATCTCAGCTTTAAAATAAAAGTATGCAGTAAAATTGCATATGTAAGTGGGCAGTCTTTTACTTGTGGAGCCAAATAAATGAACATAAATGTTTTATGCTTCCATTTCACACCAAATCAGGACAGTTAATGGTGCATGAACAGAATTATCCTGGCTTGGCTTCATGCTAAGGTCATGTGACTATGACCTCTTACATCATGCGCTGGATGCCGTGTTCTTGCAGTAGCTTGCATTTTGTTGATGTGCATTTTAGTTCCTTTGCTTAGACGCAGATTTACAGAGGGGATAGTAATGTAGTAACACAGCTATTGTACAGCGCAAATTATGATATTCACTTGTCTTCAAAATATTTATCAAGCAAAAGTAATCAACATAAGACAGAACTGTCTCCTAAAATGTGAGTTTTTTTTGGTCTTGTAAATATCATAGTTTTGAGTCGTATTGCTATTTTGTTTGTTTGTTTGTTTGTTTGTTTTTTGGTGAAATCCGTATACCTCTTTATGATTAATTATACCTGGTTAGTTCCAGCAGTCACTTGCCATTTGGTGAAGGAATATACATTTTATCTCAAGGGATTTGTAGTTCCCAGAGAGTCACTGACCAGTTTGTAGGATGGAGAGACTGGGATCTAAGGCATTGTTTTCATTCAGTCATCCATCTTTTTTCTTCCGCTTTATCCCATTTAGGGTCACAAGGAACACCCGGACAGGTCGCCATTTTATCACAGGGCTAACACAGACAGAGAACCACATGTGCTCACATTCATACCTATGGGCAATTTGGAATAACCAGTTAACCTAACCTCACTAACTGCATCTATTTGGAATATGGGAGGAAACCAGAGCACCCACAGAACATGAAAATTCTATACAGAAAGGCCCCAGCCATTTAGTTACTACGCTACAGATGAAACCCTGAATGAATGAATGAACTTTTAAAAAAAAAAAGAAATGAGTAACTGATAATATGGGTGCTAAATAAAGCCTCTTCCTTCCTTCCAAGCTTGCCGTTCTCATTTCTTTCTTCTTTTTTTTTTTTGGGCTGATTTTGTTTGTGGAACATGCTTTGAAAGGAAATTAACTTCCACACAATCAAGTAGTTGTGATTAAACTTTTCCCTTTCAGATAGAAATCTTTAAATTCCATATTGCAGCTTTAACCACAAATCATGTTGCTACAACAGCAGTTATGTTGTCTGATTGAATCAGTGAAATTAGCCGTACCACCTCCCTTTTTCTTGGGTGGTACTGAAAACAGCTCACTAACACACCGTGTGTTGTAACTGGGATAAGCCTGTTCTAGTAAAACTGTCATCCCTGCGTTTGAAAGAGCTCGTAGGTGGAGAGGAGGTGCAGCCTAAATTTGAATCAAGGCCATATTTCTTCAGGCATAGAAAATGTAGGCCAACTTTACCATATTTAAACAGCACTGGATGCAGAGATAGGAATATGCTAGGTTAATGTGGTTATTTCACACAGGGAGAGCTTGTTGATGGTACATGAACCAATTATTTAAATGACAAGTAAGAAGTCAACCTTTGGCAGCAATGATGGCCTCAGGTCTTCTTGGTAATGATCCTATAAGCTTGGCACACCTTTTCTTTGGAAGTTACTCCTGCTTTTTCAGCTGTTTTTGGAAAACAGACGAAAAAACGCTGTTTTCCATTACTCATGTAATTATAGCTTTGATGAATGTTGTTTTCATCTGCCCGACTTATTCTTCAGTGCCACTGTATTGGCTGAGTAAATGCTGGAAATAGACAAACATTTTGGTATTATTTCACCTTGAGTATTGTAGCATTAGGTCATGCTAGCTTTACACTGGCCTTGCTGTATGTAGAAAGCAGGTTGACCTTGAGCCTTATCCTGACATTTTGACCCATGTAGCTAAATGTAGCTTTAGGAATTAAGTTGATTGAAGCAATGACATGTATTGGCCAATACATGCTAAAAGAAGTGGATATGCCAGTTTTTATATTTTCAAAAAGCAGCAAAGCTTAGAGCATGTAGCTTTCCATTGAACAAATTTGGCTTTATACATTTCGGAACAAACTCCTAAAATCTTTTCCAGCCATTTTTAATGAAAATAATGTAAAAGAAAGGAAACCAAACTTTCAGGATGTTAGCTCATCATTTTACAGATGAGAGTCACATGCCAGACAATGCATGTGTCACAAGCTATAAATTGAAGCCCTGTGATTTCTGGAATATTTTTGTCTGTCTTTTGTGTGGGTAACACACCTCCTTTGCAGCTTGATCATAATTATACAGATGGAAATTTACTGAAAGAGTGAAGCTGCCTGTTATGCCAATGTGCTGATGTGTCCACAGGGCTTTCAAACACAACAACTTCTGTCACTTAAGGGTTTTATTGTTTAGTTATTGGGAATCTCTCTGCAATTGTGAGGCAATTGCAAGGCATAAAAAGAAAACACGTTTTTCGTGGTGCTTTTCTTTTGCTTTGCATCTGCAGATGTTTTTATTGGGTGCACTTTTTTCAATAAGACAACATTAATTGTGCAGCAAATATTCTTGTTAACCAAATGAGAGGGGATTTGATATCTTGTCATGCAAGTCATATGAAATAAAACAGGTTATAATACACTGATTGCAAACTGTAGGCACTCTTTATCTTTTTAAACACTTTGATTGATACAGCTGGAACCCAGCAGTGTTTGAGAATTACTATGAGATCATACTTTTTTTTAATTTATGGTGTTTTATTGTCATCTTATTTCTACGCAGAATGGTACAAAGAAATCGTGGGACTTCATGCGGACCCATGACAGGTAAAAAACACTTTCAATTTACTTTTACTGCTCCTGTCCTTTACTTGCATGTATATTTACTCAATACATCTTATTGGCAAACTAAATGGCTAATAAATAATACCAGACTACACAGAAGAGGTAAGAAAACATTAATGTAGCCTGAAATGAGACCTTGACACACAGCATTGTTATTGTTGAGAAATTGTATAACATACATGTTTATGTCAGGAGGGGTTATTCAATCTCGAGAGCTTGTTTTAAACATAAAGCCGTGCTCAGAAGTTTTCTCATTATTGGCAGTTTTTTTCCATTTGTCGATAATGGCTCTCACTGTGGTTTGCCTGAGTCCCAAAGCCTTAAAAATAGCTTTGTAATCCTTTCCAGACTGATAGATGTCAATGACTTTGGTTCTTACTGGTTCTCAGGTTTCTTTAGATCATGACAAGATTTGTTGCTTTATAAGAATTCATAATTTCACAAGTCGGAGCAATAACATTTTTAACGTCACTGGGATAGACTCAGTTTTGGGATTCCATTTCCGAAGTTTAATGTTAGATTGCTTTATTCATTCCAAAACCTGTTTTGATGTGTGTTTAGCATCATTCCAGTTGTGTGCAAGTTTCAGTTGTCTAACTGTTGAGTAAAGCTTTAAGAATTTGGAGGTAGTTCTCGTTTTTGATTATTACATCCACTTATGCAGTGTATCAGTACTACAGGCAGTAAAACAACCTCAGAGCAAGATGCTACCACCACCATGCTTGGCAGTCGGTCCAGTGTACTTAAGTTTAAAAGCCTTTAGTCTTCCACACATACCTCTTGTCATTCTGGCTATGTAAAACGGCAGTTTCCAGACCATGGTAGGCTTAAGCCTTATTGGTTCCTAGATTGCTCCTGAACATCCAAACCAATTTCCTCTCATCTGACTTCTCTGGTATTTTTACACCACAATGATCTGGTTTCTCTTAAAAATGCATTGTATTTGGAGGATCGTCAACCTTAACACACCTTGTTTTGAAGAAAGCAGTGCCATGCAATTATACAGGGAAAGTGGCAATAAATGTCTGAACTTTAGTGGGGCTCTGTAAGAGAAATATCACACATTTGCGTCAAAGCCGTAATTCCAACTCGCAGTCTGCCATAATGCCCTGAGGTAAGTCTCGGGTTATTTCAGCCCCATTTTGTTCTCCTAATGACCCCAAAGAGAAGTTCTTCTGAAAAATAGTGCCACAGAGGGAAGAAGCAGTAAACCCAAACCTGCATTTCTCTACCCCATGTGGATATTGCGAAACGGGTTATTCCCCGTGGGGCATGTATCAAATAGACCCTGGATTGTTTTGCATTTTTGTGCAAGTGTGCATAGCATTTTCTTCTCAGCAGGATGTTGTCTTTCAGAAGAACTAGTCAAAGATTTGAAAGACAGATTTTTTTTTTTTATCAAAGGCAACATTAGACTAGAAGAGACTGTAGTCAGAATGCTATGAGATGCGTTATTGAATACATTTTTTTCAGCTTGTTTCTAAAATTCTTATGAAGATGAGTTTGTGGCGACGTGCACAGTTATTCATCTGCTTCATAAGCATGCACATTTACCAAGATTTGCGGTTATTTGATAAGTGGCCTCCTGGGGAAATTACAGTAGTTAATAGAAATTTCATTTACCAAGATTATTAAAAGGTCTTGACAGTACTGCATAAATAAATACAATTAAACTGTAAGGTTAACTGATAACCTGGGTTTTCATGATATTTCATGATGTTTCAGGGTGTATCTGGTTCACAGTCTTTGCTTTTAGCTTCTTCTGAAGGATCCCAAGGGTTTTCCCTCACTATGTGGATTATCCACCTATTCACATGTATTCCACATGTTATGGATTCATCTTCTTGTTGGACAGGCCTCACCTCTTAAGGCCTGTCAATATTTAAATATTGTGACAGTTGGTTGCTACTGGACATTCCAGGCTCTATTTGCCTTGTTAAGCCTTTAATGCATTTGCCACCCATGTGTTTTTCAATCGACTGCTGCATATCCTTTGCTCTCATTGGTAGTCACTTCGATTGCTCTAAGATGGGAAAAATTTACCTCTGTACCTGTCCATATCGTTTTGCCCGGGGGTTATTTCTCCCGTTGTCACTTGAAATTGCTCAATGTAATTGATATTCTATGGGCTCTGATTGCCACACAACTGCTAATAGCTCCGTGTGTGGATATTGCCTTAGATATAGTACTTAACTCTGCACAAGGGGAACAATTTACTCTCAGTGTAAATACGACAGTTGACTGTAAAATGTTCAGTGGCTTTTGACTTAGAGGTGCAGATCGTCAATGCAGGAGCCAAAGATTCTGGAAGTACATGCTTCATTAGCTGCCACTTATCTAGAGCAAGTGCTTACTTTGTTTGCACAAGCAGGGTTTGACCTGAAAACTACAAAAACACATGAAACTGAATTGCTCTTCCATGGGACACATTCAGACACAACAGCACAAATTACTTTATAGGTGAGTCATGGATGACAACAAACTCTGCAACATTTTTAACAGAATTAGTAATAAAGTATCTGAAGAGTATATAGTTTTACCTCTTTAACTTATTTAAGAAACTGCTATTTCTATAGAGCTTGGAGAGCGTTAAAACTTTACAAAGCTAACTGAAGTTTGCATATTGCCTTCTGAGAAAAGCTACCTGACTGTAAAATCACACTTGACTGTGTGGAAATGGTTTTCCAAACAAGACAAACATAAAAACTACACTCTAAACTATAATTTAGATCATTCATACTTATGGGACATCAGCTTCATGTCCTTCTTTGCCTGTTTTTATATATGTGTATTAAGATGCTTGCTGATAAACCTTTGGAAATAGGAGGTTTCTCATTGCACAGGTGCCATTCTTATTGGTTTGTAGTCCTTATTTATAACAGAAAGCTTCACATAATGAATCTGAGAATAAAAGACGCCCAGAGGCAACAGAAAGGCAAAGATAAAAATAAAATGATTACTGTGTTAAACCCTTGTTTGTTTGTTTGTTCTAATGCATTTTAGCTTGCTGTAAGTTTTATTAGTTCGTAATGTGGCTCTGTTTATATCAATAAAGAATTTGCATCTTATAATTCATTTAAAAAAACATTTAAAAAATGTAATATTACGACACTTGACTCATTTAAACCAAAGCTGGTAAATGAAAGAAGGGATGTGGTTATGTCCTTGGCTCCGATCTGACAGCAGAAGATGGATTGTGTAGCCTTTAACCCATTTTTTTTTTCTAGTGGGACTTGGGCCAAATAATAATATCCTTAAACCATAAGCTTTCTACCAGTAGTCACCTTAGTCCTGCGTCTCATACGTCTGCCTTAACCCAGATTTCCCGCTGTTCAGCCAGATGCCCCAGAGAGAAAGCTTAACCGTGCATGAAAAGTCCTGAGTGTCTGTTTAGCCTGCTTCTTGGTTTAACTGTTAGAGCTCCTTTTTTTCACCAGGAAGCAGTAGAAGAGCAGTAATGGTGTGTAACAGCACTATAAGACCATGACTTGCCACAAGGGACAGCTCCAATGCCTCAGGCCTGTGACCCACTTTTTGTCTACATCCTCCTCACTTGTGTCTTGTGAGGTGATATTGCCCTACAGCGCAGTCTTCTCGTGTATATCTGCAATCAGCTTCAGCAATATCAGTGTGAAAAAGAAGCTCTAGAAAGATGCAAGGGAGGAGGTGAAAATGGCTGTTCTGTGTTCTCAAGGTGAGAGCAAACAATGGAGTATGGCGAAAGGAGCTGAATAGATAAGTCGCAGAGTTTGCTCACTGGATCCAGATATGAATCAAAGGCTTTTTAATCAGTAATAGAAAGATGGTTGACCTTTTTCTGAAGCTGTTTTCAGGGCCATGAGATGGTATATTTTATGCAAATTTATAAGGATTTATAAGTTAACCCCACAGTTAATTCCAGCTTTGATTTTAACTTGTTATTGCTGGAAGTGCAAGTTCAATTCTGCAATTTTGAACACAAAAGTGTTTTGAAAAAGGACCCAACAAAGCAGCAAGCATGTTTGAATTTGTAAAAATGGCAGTTAATGGCTGTCATAGTTTACAGGCCTGCTTGCTGCTACATTTATTACCTGGTGTAGTCTCCTTTACCTTTTTTATTAACTTTAAGTATGCACAGTAGAGGTGTTTTTAATGACTTTTTAATCGGTGTTTGCTATGATCTGTGTTTGTACCAATAAAAGTGAGGTCTGTAGTTACTTTTCCTTTGATTTAATGCACACTGTAGGGACTAGACATTTGTTTTCACTGAAGGTTAAATGAGGCAGTGGATTCAATAAAATAAACTAAAAAGGGAATGATCCTGTTTTTAAGAAGGATTAACCAGTCAGCTGACATTACACATGTTTGAAAAGGCAAAACTGAAAATCTAAAACGCAAACAGACATTAACCAAGTATCAGCCCAGGAGCTGCAGCTAGGTGTTGTACCAGCAAACTCTTGGTTCCTTCTTTCCATGGGAAAGACAGGGCAGGGCTTCCTGCTGCCTCAGACGCATCCGCTTTCCCAACACAAACCCCAGGCCTCAAGTCGCCACAAACAGCAACAGTCAGACTCTCACACACATACACACAAACACACTCGAGCGGTGACCCACCTGTGCCTATAGAGCTCTTTGGGTGCCAGTGGCGAAGCATATCATGCTGACCTTCCTTCTATTTTATCTCCATATCCTGCTTGTTAAGAGTCATTGTGAATATCAGCAGTGAAGCAAGACTCTTATTTTAGAAAACTGTTCATTTTGGCAGACCATTTTATTTTTAGTGGCATGTTATTTTTAGGTCTTTGTAACAGGAAATGTCTAATACAAAGGTTAAGTCAGGGGTATGATCGTTCCGTTTGTTTGTAGGTTATGATTTTTGTTAAACACTGAGATGTGCGTCTCCCTGAATGACACAGAACTACATAACATTTTGTATATTTCAGTTTCTTTTCCCCAACTTTCTTTTTAATGTTAGTAAGGGTGGATTTTCTTAACATGGGCGTCTCAGGCAGATGGCTTTTTTTTTTTTTGCACAGAAGCCCCACACACCTGCTTTTCACATCTTCCATTTGTGAAGGGTAACCAATTGGACGAAGGTTTATTTAAATGGAGAGTCTCTGAAACAACTCGTTTCAGACAGAGGATGAACTGAAGGACTAAGACCCAGTAGACGATTAACCAGGATTAATTATAAACTGCAGAATCAAGTAAAACTACTTTCAAGTGGATGAACATTGTAACGGAAACCAGACACAATGAAACACAGGTATGATTGTTTAGCCTCAGTCACACAGACATAGCGACGAGAAGCCCCCCCCCCCTCACCAAGTAGCATCTTGCATTAAGTTTAAAGTCATGACATTGCTTGTGTCGTGCAACAGCTGTGATGTCACTATTTATGGTAGCTTTATACTGGTTTTTGAGAATGTGCCAGGTAAAGAAATTTGGTAGAGTAGTAGTTTTTACCAGGCGGTCTTTTGTTTTCAGGAAGTCTAAGTATTGGTTGTCAACTGGCAAAAACCAGCGTTTGGACCCGACGCTTGACCACTTTTATACATGAATCCAGGGTTCTTTGACTTGTGCATGTTTTAGACTGGTGATTCCATCACAAGGGATTTAAAAAATGGTTCACCACTGACTTATTGCTCTCTTGAACTTGACGTCACTGCACCAGTGATGTGTCATTTTGGCAGGTAGAAAACATGTCCTTTGAGAATAACATTTGTTTAACTCTGCCTTTCTCCCACACCCCAATGTCTGCAGTGTATCTGTGCTGATCTTCAACACCACCTCACACTGTTTTGTCCTCGTCAAACAGTTCCGTCCAGGTAAGTTTTCTTTTTCTGTGTTCACAAAGTGGCACACCAAAAACACTGCAGTACAGTTTATTCAATTTCATTATGTTCACCAATCTAGATTAAGTTTGGTATACATCCTATGGACATCCTGTGCATACTTTTTATTCAAATGAATGGAAGTAACAATACAGACTCATAAATAGACTGCAGGAGGTCCCATTACGATGCAACCTAGCCTCCTTTGTTAGTAGTCACCAGACTTTTCCACATTGGCGTTTATTAAATTCAAGGACACCTGGGCACTGATTTATTTGTTTTGTCCGTTTGTTTTGCCATTTTTTTTAAGTATTTATCTGCAGTGCAAAATGGGACTTTATTTTAAACCTTGAGCTCACGATAGAATTTATCAGACAATAAATGTTTAAAGATTGAAAAGTAGCCATTGCAGTTAAAATGAGCTTTTTTTACCCGAGTGTATTGGCATTTTCTTCCATTTCTCCCACCATCAGCTGTATACATGTGTGAATGGGAAAAAGCCAAGACGCAGCCACCAAAGTCTGCTGAAAAAACCGAGGAGGGTGCTGCAGAAGCCGCGACGGAGTCTCAGGAGGGCCAGTCAGCCTCAGAAGGGGAGAGCACTTCTCAGTGGCTGCCTGCCTCTGCGGGGGTCACCTATGAGCTCTGCGCTGGCCTGGTGGACAAACCTAACCTCTCTCTGGAGGAGATCGCCCGCCAGGAGGTGCTGGAAGAATGTGGCTACGATGTGCCAGCTTCCAAGCTGAAGAAGATTACTTCTTACAGGTTAGTTTTTTGGGTTTATTGCGCATAATTCAAAAATAATTTACAGCTGATGGTTTGTGTTAGGAGCACTCGGTCAAGGTCAAGGTCTTTTGTCAAGTATCAACTCAAATCACAGGAAAGTCTCAGTGCAATGTTTTTCATTATCTTGTGTATCTTATCTACTTTAGTCACTCCCACTGGATTTCTTGTCCCTTAACAATTAATTTCCTATTGTCCTATTTTGTTATAATTTCCTTTAATTATACATTCTGAACTTCCTTGTGCAGCATTTACTAGGAAATAACCTACATTTGCAGTGTTTCAAACTTTTAAATGATATATACTGTAGATTATTGGAGCACACACACAAAAACTCCTGTCTGTTGGAAAGGCTTGGGAAAGCTTTATGGATGGATTTTAAAAGGTGCCAGACTGAAAGTGTTAGTCAAATCATGTGTGCAATTTTCCTGTGTGATGATCTGCCAGTGAATAGCAAAACCAGTGCTCCCCTTATCCTGAGCACTGGGAGTAAAGTGAGTTCTCAAAATTCACTTGGAAAATAAAATAAGAAGACTTTTTTTTAAAGACTTAAATAACCAGGCAAATATTATAACTGTTTGCCATTTTACTCTTTCAGCTAATAGGTACAGCCATTGAAAATGAGCTTAGTCTATAAAAGCTGTCACTGTTGGATTGGTATATGATTGTTTATTAACCTCATCTAAATGAACATTTTTCCACTTATTTTTTCACTAGCTGCGTGAACATGATAGGTTAGATTATATCCCAGTTGATATGTAGACAGGGCTAATATATCAGCCAATATTAGCTGACATATCTGTATCTGCTTTAACGGACAATAAATAAAAATGTAAAAACATAAAGACGAGAAAGGAGGAACACCCTTCACAGCCATGCTAGTGGTGTTGATGTTACATAGATTATCCACCAGAGGGCACTCTACAACATTCCTGTTGGCAATACTTGTTTGGAAACGCAACAACTCTCTCATCCGAGAGTTGGGCAGAGCGTAAACGATTAGTCCATCACTAGTTATGACACTAAAACAAGATTATTTTTAAACTGCATTATCATAATATTTTAGACTCATAAATACACATAACCAATCCATTTATGCTTCATGTGTTAAGGCTATATCGTATTTTTTTTTTCAAATCACTAAATATCGGTATCGATATGGGTCTTAAAATCATATATCAGTCTGGCTTTAGGTCGGATCATTCTTTGCTCTATATATGAATGTTTCTTGCTGTGATTTGGTGCTCTTTCACTAGTTTAGTCTGTAAAAATGAAAAAAGTGCCTGACAATTACCCTTACAGTGGTTTAATAGTGCATTAACACTGTTTGGCAGTAGCTCAGAAGAGCACCTACTGATCAGAAGGTTGGTGGTTTGATCCCTGATTGCTCCAGTCTGCATGCCCAAATATCTTTGGGCAGGATACCAACCCCAAGTTGCTCTCCAATTGATTCACAATCCAGTGGATGCACAATCTGATGCTTCCATTGGATTGTGAATGTTAGAAAGGCATAGAAAAATTGCTCTTATGAATGGGTGAATGATGCATGTTGAATAAAGCGCTTTGAGTGGTCAAGTAGAGAGATTTATAAGAACATTACTTAACAGTCTTTGTGACAGTGCAGGGTTTTTTGTATGGTTTGTTTTTTTTGGGGGGGCGCGGGGGTTGGAGGAAGTTCTGAAATTATAAACTAAAAGTGCACAATTTATATAAGTGACCTGGAAATAAGCATTAGGCAAGTCATCCATCTTTGTCCATGTATTATTAGCTGAGTAGAGCTTGAAGCGGCAGTGAAAAGACCCAGGAGACGAACAGTCCCACATTAGACAGCAGCAGCTGGACAGCTTTGAGTGATGACTCTCATAAGGACGCTTTTGATATAGCTTACACACCACCTCCAGCTCTGTTGGTGTTGTCTACGACCATTGTTGTGTGTAGGCTGCTTCCATTATACAGACGGGGATCACCTTAACCCTCATAACACCTATGAGGGTGTTTCTGACAGAAGTACTCAGTATACTGAAGCGCTCTGCTAATAGCAGGCAACCTGAGGGCACTGTCGCCTGCGGCAGAGATTTAATATTTTATTGAAATGCTAAAGAATTTATTGTTTTTACACCATATGGGGTTTTTTTTTTATTATAAAGAGTGAAAGACAGATTTACAGAATTCATATGTGACTTTGTTGAGTTCTTTGTTTTGGTCTCTAAGAGTGTTGTGTTGATACTGAAGCACCAGCACAAGACACTCAGCCCTGTTTAAAAATGAAAGAAGATGTCCTTTTAGATTTTTTATTTTTTGTCTCTCCTCCAGGTCGGGTGTCGGTGTAACCGGTGCCAAGCAGACCATGTTTTACGCTGAGGTGTCCGATGACAACTGCGTCAGCCCAGGTGGAGGTGAGCCAAAGGAGGGAGAGCTTATCGAGGTGGTCAAAGTCCCGCTGCACGAGGCCATGACGTTTGCCTACGACGAGCGTATACCCAAAACCATGGGCGTCATTTTTAGTTTCATCTGGTTCCATAATAACATGTCTCCTAAGTACAAGATCTCCACCAATGTGTAACTAGTATTAAAATAAGCCCTCTTTCTACAATTTATTCCAGATTAAATCAAACACTGGCCCAGCACACTCACTCCTCCCCTTAAGGCTCTTCATCCTGTATTGCCTTTTTGCTTATTGGTACATGATGAAGGGTGGGCCCCTTGTCTTGTTGCCAGCTGGTATCTTTAAGGTTTGTCCTATTAGCTTTTTTAAAAAGACAATTGTTTTATGTGGTCCTAGTGTTTTTCCTAAATACAAATATGCCATAGCTGGTTGTCACTGGCACTTTTTCTCTTCTTTTTATACGTAAATCATTCATTTACTGTGCCATTTGTTATCAGTGGCTGCATATCACAGATTTCATTTGCCTGCCCTTAATTAAAGGAATGCTCCACTGTTTTTTTTAATTTTATTTTAATGTAGATATTAAATATTATCTACATGTTAGTGTTTTTAAAATCAAAATTTGGTTGAGAAAAAGGCCTTTAAAGTTCTTTAAACTTTTTCTCCATTGCTAGTTGCTTTAGTAAAGAGAATTTAAAGCTCCAGTATATATGATTTTATAATACTGTAACAATATTGTATTTTCTATTATTATGTGGAAATGCCTCAAAACCAGATTGGAGGCCACTGAAAACCACTGTTCGACTAAATTAAACCCAGTTTCAAAATTATTTGTGGTCAATGCACTGTATTTCCGTTTTCACACATTTTCGCACATGATGAGAAGGCTTGCAAGTGAAAATATTCCTCTTTCTCACCTCTGCTACATTAAACACGGCTGTCAGTATTCATGATTAACCTCTAATGTGCCGCTGGTTACCTTCAGTTTGCCAGCATTTCCACTGAAATCTTGAAAGCATTTTTGCTTTCCTGAAAAAGTCTGACTGTGACAATGCAAAGCACATATACAGTAGCTACTTTTTGCACTGTTTATAATGTAAAGATAGATAGATGAGGTTACAAAAAAACAGTGGAGTATTCCTTTAATCCATGATCCAGTAATGCAAAAACTATACTAGTCAATCATGGGGCCTTGTAATGATTGGGGTATTCAGGGATGCCCCATTTAAGTTCTGAATCATAGCCTTCAAGCAATACTTACCTAAGTACTCCAGGCTGAACAATCGTAGTATCATTGAAATCAGCCCTTATCCTTTTCATCAAATTCTTCGTGAAGTCAAACCAGTTAACATTAGCAAACACTTACCTCTGCGCAGAGGGCCTCAGTTTAATTAACTCAATTGCGCTGAAGCACGATCGTGATTAAAAGCAGCCTATTTGTAGTTGGAGACACTTAAATCCACTTCTGGTGACATCTTCACACTGCCGTGTTACAGGCGTTTTCAAGCCTGTAGCACATCAGTGGAGTCTCAGACAAACGACAGTTTGTTTCGTTTTTTATTTTGTATGTTTGTTTTTTAGAGTTTTGGAGGAACTCAAATGTATACTGTTGCGGACATGATGTCTTAAGGCAGTAGCCTCTATTTTTCTGATTTTTAGATTGTTTATTTTTTGCACACAACATCAAAGTTACATTATGAACCCATAAATCACATCAATATTAATTAGAAAAATGTTCAGAAAATGTAACCCATGTGAAAGTCTGATTTTTATAATAATTCATTTGCAAAACTCACATGCTGAAAACCATTAATGCACAAACCTGCTCTGTCTCTTATTGTATGCTTCTGTACACTACATGCAATTCACACTAAGTACCTGCTGTAAACATAACATTTATTAAAAGTTGATTGGAGAATGCTTTTCAGTTGTCACTTATAGGCCTAGAGACTAGTCACCGAACTGTGTATTCCCTGACCAGTTGGTGAGTGATTCCTCGATGTTGTTGCCTTTTTTGTGATTGCTTTCATCGCTAGCAAATTGTTGCAGTCGCCCTTAGTTTTCATGGAAGACACGGAGATGAAAACACTAATTGACCACCAAGAATCTGAGAAAGAAAAAGTGGACTACATCCTGGACACTGGGAGTGGTCCCCTTCAAAGTAAAAGTTGTGCCTTACCGTTTACACCAACATCTTCCAAAAACCACAACTTTTACTCTGAAGACCAAGACTATCCATTTGTGTTTACATTGGACTCTTCACAGTTTCAGTACCACTTTTCGAACAGTTTTCAGGTGTTGGCAATATGTTACACACTGTATACCTCTCTGTAGCCGATTTCACCTCACAACTAGCAACAGCCTCTAGCAACCACTCGCCTACTGATTAAGAAATACCCATTTTTCCCTAGTGACCAATTATTACCAACAAGCCACTGACTGGTCTCTTGTCAGCAGCCTATAGAAACCTTAACAATCAATGGTTGCTGGAGTGACCAGTAGTTGCCAGGCTCCTGCCAACCAGTCTCTTGACTTGTATGACTGGACCCTTAATGGTTGAAGTGGAAAGGGAGTAGCCGGTGAACAATTTTCCACCAGTAGGAGCAGGCTAAATAGTCGCTGCGCACTATTTAGCAAAAAGCAACCTGTTTTTTTTAGGCAGTGGATCTGCATTCGTAGCTTGGGTTGTTTTAGTGTAGGCAAAACTAGTTTTAGGTCAGTGATTTGTAACTTGTAATGCTGCAAGTATTGCAACAGTTCGAGCTACCTGCTACTATAGTAGTTCTCTGAGTGAACAGCTTGCCATGTTCAAGTTGAAATGACAGTACCCTGTCAAATGTCACACCCTACACAAGTAGGTACTTGGTTTACTACATCAAAATTAATATTCATAAGTATCAGAAAATGAGACGCACCTCTGAACTCACAAAGTGATTCTCAACAGCAGCTTCTTAAAATCTCAGGTCCAAATAGTCCAATCTTTGATTATATTCAGAGTGGATCTCTGAATGTGATGATGACCAGCATGTCTGTTACTATATTTTCACATTTCAAAATCACTTGCAGCTTCACTAACTAGGCAAGAAAGTTATCACTAATACTATAAAATGTTAGTGTTTTTCTTCACTCAAAAAGGGCTGGTACATCATTCATTATTTAATATGTGAGGAAGAGAACCACCCACCTTGTAGTTTTGTTAACAAAAAGTACATATATAGATGTACAAAAACCGAAGCAAAGCCAATACTGTCTTAAAAAATTCACCTTCAAAGACACATTTCATTATATTAACATTAGTACAGTAATAATAATAAGAGAACTACATTTGAAACAACCATTAATAGAGCTGAAATCCTTATGGTGCACCTGCAGAAATGTTTTTTTTAACTTCAGAAATGCAATGACTGAGTACAGATAGTGACAACAAGCTTAAAGTAATGCAGTGTAATATAACAGTAAATCCTATATTATATACAGCCACATTTCTGTACTTATCTCTGTAGTTTGGGGGGAGAAAATAATATTACTACTAGCATTACAGACAACATTGTCCAAAATCAGCACCTCTCTGAAAGAAGAGCACTTTCAGCTTTAGCAGCCAGGTGCGCATATGAATAAATACTCTAGGTTAATATGAACAATCAGTCTAGCATTTTTTTAAATGCTTTTCAAGCACCAAGAACAGCTGACAATCAAAAGTTCAACATTAATTTTTCTTTAAACCTTATGCTTCTTATTCACTTGGTTTATGTCTATGTTTGTGAGGCTCTTCTCCTCTACATACTAAGAAATCAAGCAGAGAGAAGAGCATAACTTTTGGGCATATCCCTATAAGTGTGTCATGGAGCCACCTGAAATTCCGTCACCCGCGCAGATTAAAAAAATCAAAGGTTGTATTTTATTCCACACACTGACGCAAACATTTGGGGAGTAACTTCCACCCAAATAGCTTAGAAAAATATGCATAATCCTAAAGCCATAAATATAATTTGTTGAGCTTCTTTGTCCTTCGTCAACCATGGATCGTTCCTCGATGTGCGATTGTAGAGTTTGCTCAGACTGCTTGAAACATTTGCTCAATAGGTTCATATTTTCTCTCTCAAATGCATTTACTTTTGTGAGCGTGATATCGGGACACTTTGGAAAAATGTGGAAAGCACCTTTGGAAAACCATGAGATTACTTATTAGTGTTACACATTGTACCCCTAACAAGACTGCTGTATGCTGCCTGACCAAGACAAATTTCAGTATTTTGCATTGATGACAACGTGCACTTGCCGTGGGCTTGTTTCTGTAAGGTTAGGGAATACCCCAGCATTTATTTCCATCCAGAGTTCTATTAGGATTTTCCAAAGGTTTCATCATTGATGATGGGAGAGTCAGACTGCTGTATAAAACCTTCTTCAGCAAAGATTCTCAGTGTGGATAAAGCGCTCTCCAGTCTGCCGTACCCCTCGAACTTCCCATTCCCATTATTGGGAAAAACCTAGTAATTCAGCGCCTCACCCATGCTCGAGGTTTCTTCCTGTTAAATAAAATGAGTTTTTCCTTCCAAGTGGCCAAGTGCTTGCCCTCTGTATTATTTTAGGCTCTTTACCTTACCTTACCTCAAGCAACTCGAGGCCACCAATGTTGTGATTTCGCAATATATAAATAAAATGGAAGTTAATTGACTTCAGTAGCTTCAGGTTGTCAGCTGACCTTTTTCTTGGGGCACGTAATGTTCTCGAACCTAAACCTGACCAACTGAAGCAACTTCAGGTCATAACGCTGATCCCACAGGATGTTGTGTGGTAGGCATTTCACCTGCCTGTTCTTCCCCAAATATTCCCATCAATCTGATGACCTTTTTCCATTGCTCCAGAGTCTGATCTTCATGCTCCCTAGCAAATATAAACCTCATTTAAGCCACGTTTTCTTAAAGCAACGTAGCTTCCATTGAGCTCTCAGTGTGCACTTAGAAATATTTACCTTCACTGTTAAACATATCCTTGATTTCTGCTGTTGATCTGTTTTAGTAGTTTCACCATGTAGGCCAATAATTTGACCGTTCTGAAATGGACTAATGGCTTTTCCACAACCGCAGAATATCTTCAAACATGGTTGCTTGAGAACTGCATTGGTTAGTGTTGGATAATCTGTTAGCAAAAACATATTCATTACTGCAGTAATAGACTTTTATGTGTTTCCTTAGTTACATTCAGATGTGACTTGTTTTGGCCAGACAGTGTATTATATGTTGTAACATCATAAATTGCTGTTAGCTTTCAGAAGTTACTCAACACTTCTGCAGTCCCATTTCTCTCATATGACAATCGTACAGCCCTTTGTTTGTTTTTTTAAGGTCAAAGTGGATCTCAGCACTTGTTGTTTGGTTTACTGGAGAACCTCAGTGAAGGATTTCCAATGGTGCTCACAGTTTTCCATTGTCTTGTTCTCATCTAGTATGGTGGAGTATAATAGAAGTATCACACTTGTGTCTAGAAATAACTCATGAAATGTGTTAGCCATGAGGATTCAAGGCTGGAAGAAAAAAATATTTTTAGAAATGTGTTTTACCAGTGTTTGCTTCTGATTTGGCTCAACGCAAAAGCCATTTTAACTTTAAGGCCAGTCTGTAACTTTTAACGTGCCTGTCAAAAGTGAAGAGCTGCACAGTGACTTCTCTTTAGGCTGAAATAGATTTGTTTGTTTGTTTGTTTGTTTCAGGCAAGTATTATCAGGTGATTATTTCCTAACACTTTCCCTTCTAGTTGTTAAGAGTATTTGGTGAACATTGCTGAGGATTTGCAGCAGCATTATGACTCACTGACTGAAAATAAAAGTACCGTCCATGCGGGTGAATAGCAGCTGCAAAGTGGGAAGGATCGTGTCAGATGTCTGCTAATGTGATTGATTGGTGCAGAGAATTCGGTTGCCAAAAGAAGCACAAACAGAGTGGTAGCACTTCAGGTTCAGCTGGTTCGGCCAGCTTCAGCCTGTATTTGAGTTATTTTAGTTTTGTTTAGCCTGTGGAGTCAAAACGTATTACGTACTCTGTGTTATCAGGCCTGCTGTTAATTTTGTACTTAGGATTTTTTTTCCCCATTGATTTTTTTTTTTTAATCAGCTTTTGTGTAATCTTATTTAGTTAGAAACAGCTGTGTGTTTCTGTGTTAAACACACATCTTTTGAGTGTAAAGGCAATCTCTAAGGTCTTTTTTTATTAATTCAACACTGGTGACTAACATTATTCTTGGAGACTTATAGGAAAAGTTTCACAGTTTTGGAGGAATGTGGTTATTAGCCCTTTTTTTGGCGGAAATTAATTGCAGACTGATGACCTGTCTGGGCAGTTACAGGGATAAGGACTAGAAACAGAGGAAAACCCTGACACAATGCTCCCAATAGTCCAGGCCTGGGACCACCACACACACACACACAGATCTTTTTTTGCATTTAATGCAAAATATAGTAATCACTATACTACGGAGCAGCGAACACGAGACGTCAGAATATGAGAACAGATTCTCTTCTAAACTGTGAAATGTTTTCTTCACACTTCTGTGTAACGAACAGGATATCGTGTCCAGACTTGAGTTGAGTTTTGCTGTTTTCACAAAAAAAACATTTCAGCCATCTTTTTTTTTTTACTTGTCACATCTGAGAGAACATTATGCATTTACGTTATTCAAGTCATTTTTGCTCAGTTTTTAACTACAGTCATTATGTCTTTGGCTCCAGCACCTTCAAACCGTGTACCTGCACAATGCAACCAGTACATCTACTAGATGTACTGGTTGCATTGTGCTCTCTGTGTAGACACTCAGTTAGCTTTGGCTTGCTGATAACTGCTGGCTGCAGCTCAACTTCATTGTGTCGGCGCCACAGTGTCAAAAAAGCAAATAAGCACGTTTCGTCCGTTAACTGTCCCTTTAGGTCTACCAGTGCAACAAGCCTAACCTGCCCCTCTGCGACAAATCTAAACACATTTTTGACAGTTTAGAGTGAGCTTGCAGACTGTGCTACAGGTAAGCCATATGCTACTTGTATTTAATATACAGGAAAACTCATATTTATGGTAAGCAAATGACTGAGTATTTCATTCTTGCCTATGCTGGATTTTCAACCATTTGCCCAGCATTTCTACCTCCATCACTCAGGCACACAACAAAGGTGTTTTGTGTCCGTTTGCTTGACCCTAAGGTGTTGAAATTCTCAAAAACAGATCAGTAACGTGGGAACCCAGTGGTTCCCTGTCACAAAACACTTCATTCATCAGTACTTTTATAGCTGTACCCTGCCCCCATGGCTATGCTGTAATTGCTTCTTCAACTGTGATTGTTTTTTTGTTTTCTTTTGTTAAGGGTTCGTGCACTGTTTGACAGTCTCTTACTGTATTTTTTGATGATCTGAACAGCAGAAAATACATTTAAAGGTGCTATGTGTAGTATTGAGTTATTGAAGAAGGTGTAGTACTGTTGATGATTTTGTATTAAGTCCAAGACTAAGTCACTTTTGCTTCTTAATTAGCAGACTGGTAGCTGAATATTCGGAAGCAACAGAGGCAGTGAAGGAGCTCAGTGACTGTATGTTGTAGCACATGTTATTCTATTAGGCAGTGAAAATCCTACACATACTACCTTTAAGTGAGCAAAGTACTCTTTTTCTTATGGTAAAGACATAAAGAAATTTGTCCAGTTGTGATTTTTTTTCTTCCCTTTTTGGTGTCTTAAACTGAATTTGTGTTTTTAAGAAAATATTTTCAGAAAAAGGTACAGGTATGAACATTGCATATTTATGAATTTATCATGTATTTTATGCTTTATTAAAATGTGTATACTCATTGTGGGCAGTGTTTTTAGTAATGTTTCGATTTTGTTAATTTATTACCTAAATGTTAAAATATTTAACTTTCAAAACATGACACTTGGTACAAACATACAGGATATTTAAATATGATACTTTGCATGTGCACTGTGTTCGATTAAACTGCATTAAATTCAAATAAAAATGGGTTTGATGCCCAAAGTGTCTGTTTATGCTCTGAGTATTTACTTACTTTTCTTTCTTTGCGTAGAATAAGGATCTGTGCATATTTTATGTCATTTCTTTTACTGATGTTTATTTGTATCTCAATAGACAAAGAACAGCTAAGTGGTTGAAAAAATAAGGTTTTCAGAGGAAAGGTGTATAATGCTACTGATGACTGTGCTTGACATTTCATTAGGTACACTTTGCCAGTACCCTCTTTTGCCTTCAGAACCGCCCAAATTCTTTCACGTTATAGATTTAAGAAGCTGCTGGAAACATTCCTCAGAGATTTTGCATCCCAAGAATGCTGTATTGGATTGAGATTTGGTGACTGTTTAGGCTATTTGACTACAGTGAACTCATTTCCATGTTGAAATGATTTGAGCTTTATGAGAATAGTACTCAGTGGTCATAAACAGATGGACATGGTTAGCAGCAATAATCAGGTAGGCTGTGGTGTTTAGATGATGCTCATTTTGTATTAAGGGGTCCAAAGTGTGCCAAGGAAATATCCTCTACATCGTTACATCACCAGCAGGAGCCTGAGCCGTTGATACAAGACAGAGTGGATCCATGCTAGGGGTGGGGGAAAAAATCGATACTGTGTAGTATCGTGATATTTTGTTTGCTAATAATGTATCGATACAGGGACAGCAGAAATCGATATTTTGTTACAAAAAAAGTTTTTGTGGACTGGAACATGACTGACTTCAGAGCATGTTGATCCTTTTTCTGAGCAAGAATCCTGACATTCCTTCGCTGTCCAAATGTGTTTTACTTTTTTTTGGCAGAAATAAACATGACAGTTTACTTATTTTAATTTAAGACATGTTTTATTTTAATTAAGTTTTTTAATTAAGTTTAAAACTTTTTTATTTAATGTAAAATTATATTTTGTTTTAATTTACTTTCAAATTCTTCAGTTACTGAAGGGGCTGCATAGTTTTCATAAATTGCATAGTTCAGAATAGCTATAATTGTACCAGATGGTTGCATTCAGTTAAGTTGGACTAGACTGTAATACAAACCGTTCAGTTTGTCAACAATAAAACTGACTGAAATGAGAGAAAGACTGAGTGTGAGACTTTGATATTAGATAAAATGAATATTGATAAAGCTTACCTTCATGTACAGAATCTGAATATCGCAAAATATTTTTAAAAAATTGCAATAATATCGTATTGTGCGTTAAGTATTGTGATAATATCGTATCGTGGGATGTATGGTGATTCCCACCTCTAATCCGTGCTTTCATGTTTTGTTTTTTTTAATCTTCTATTGCCACCTTTTGGTGAACTTTAGCCTCAGTTTCCTGTTCTTGGTCGATGGGGTTGTCTGCTGCTGCAGCCCAACTACTTCACGGTCAGACGTGTTGTGCATTTAGAGATTTTCGTCTGCATACCTTGGCTGTAACAAGACATAATATATTTGAGTTACTGTTGCCTTCCTATCAACTTTAAGCAGTCTGACCATTCTCCTCTGACCTTTGGCATCAACAAGAGATTTTCACTCAGAAAACTCACCAAGTAGTTTTCTCTGTAAAAACCTAGAATTGGGAATGTCCTGGTAAATTGTGGGAATATCCTGGTAAATTAGATCAGCCCGTTTGGCACCAACAACCGTGTCACATTCAAAGTCTCAAATGTGTTGTCA